CCCTCCCCCTCTGCACAGGTCTGACTCAGTCCCTTTGGCATTGTCACAGAGCATTAAATCTGGCTTGGGGTTTCTTGCGTTCCTCACCAGCCTTCCTGCTCCCTAACGCACAGCCGAAAGAAGGCTGGAGATGAGCTCTGAAGACATGCTGGGGGGGGCGGGGGGTTGTCCCATTATGCCCCAGACGTGAGCACAATAGGGCCACTGCCCCGGCAGCTGGGAGGTGTTTATACGCATACTCTAGTCCAAGAGTGGTATTCCCTGCAAGCTGTTGACCCCCATGTTGGCCAGAACATGCACACCTATAGGTAGAAGACATCTGTACATTGTGAAATCCAGACTGCCTTAGGGGCTTGCTGAGCATTTGACAAAGAAGCCCAAGTCCAAAAGGACCACCTGGGATAGGAAGTCTACTGCTGTGCTGGCTTCAGCCCCATTCACAGCATTCCACCTCAGATGGTGGAAGATTCAGGAAAAGCCCTCAATCCAGCTTGGGGTCTGGGTAGGGGAGGACTGGCTTAGTTGCCAAGGCCCCACCCAGAACCTGTCTTCTGGGTTTTGCCCCTAATCCTAGCAGGATTCAGGTTCCTCCTGCCCCAAGAGCCCTGGTCAGCAGCCCTAGCTCTCCGTGTTTGGCAAGGGGCCAACTTGACTGGTGGAGATGGGCCAGAGGCAGGAGAGAAGTTGGCATTGCCTTTAGATGCTATCCCCTGGGGTAATGGTGGCTTCAGCACCCAGTAAGTGTGTACAGACTCTGCTGGAAGCCTGGGCCGAGAGTTCCACAGGGGATTGACAGGACCCAACCTTTATCCTTAGGCCGCCAAAAGAAGGCTACTCCGCTTAGAGACACAGACCATGTGGGGCTTCCAACAGCTGCTTGTGGCATGGTATCTAGTGTTGGCAGCAGGTGGTACTGAGCATGTGTACAGGCCCAGGTGAGCAAGGGCTTGGGTCCTGGGGTGCTGGGGTCATGTCTAGAGCCCCTTAACCCTGCCCAAGGTGGGCCCCAATTCTTGGAGATAACTCCCTGTGGGCTCCAGCCGAAGATCCTGGTCACAGCAACATTGGGAAGCCCCCATGCCTCATGCTTCCACATATCTGGGCTTGGAGTGTCCTAGCTCTTGTCCCCCTGATGCCCCCATCCCCTATAGCCGCAGAGTGTGTGCCGTGGGAGTTTCCGGAGGCCCTGCCTTGCCCGTCTTGGAGTCCTTTGTGCAGCGTGTATATCAGCCTTTCCTCACCACTTGTGATGGGCACCGAGCTTGCAGCACTTACCGGTGAGTGCCCACTGCCCATCCCCCCATCGCCACACAGGAGCAATCCTTGGAGCCCCCAAGAGCCTGCCTCACCCTGAGCCGGGGAGCTGAGGCCAAAGTAGTGAGGTATTCTTGACATCAGTGATCAAGGTGGCCTCTCCGCTTTGGAGGCTGGTACCCAAGGATGCCGTGTAATCATGCCCAACATTGTCCTCTGAGAGGATGTCGCCTCAAAGGGCATCCCCCACATGTATAGGGGCTTCTCATCACATCTGTACTCCGCTACTTTCAGAGTTTACTCCTTCCTTCCCAGCATTGCTAGCTAGAAGTCCTTATTCATAGGGTCACTGTCCATGTGGGCAATCCAATGTCCCATCAGGCTAAGAGAACAACCTGAGCAGCACAGGACGCAGCCAAGAGGGCAGGTCCTTGTTCTGATGTGGGGAACTCAGCCTCCTCCCCGCCTAGAAACACCTGAGGAAGGCCTAGGTGCATGAGCTCTGGCTCCGGGCTCGAGATGCCTGGTTTCAGAGACTTCTGAACCTCCAAAGTTATGGGAGTGCTGGAGTCAGAAAGCCGCTTTAGCACCAGGGCCCAGAGCCCAGGAAGCAAAGCAAGCCAGGCCCTAGCCAGCTCTGAAGTGGCCACTGCAGGAGCCAGCCCTGGGCTACTTCCTGGGCCTGTGTGTCTGTCATCAGAAGCTTGGTGGATCGAGTGGTACACACAGGCCTGTATGCTGACCCTGTCTGTGTCAAGCGAGCTGGGCCTTGGAAAGGGAAACTCTGAGACCCTGGGAGTGATCCTTGCTAGATATCCCAAAACAGATGAGGTGGACAGGGTTCATTGTACCTAAAGAAGGCCTGGCCTGGGCCATCCATGTTGGGCCCCTCTGAACCACATCTATTCTCCACAGAACCATCTACCGGACTGCCTATCGCCGCAGCCCTGGGCCGACTCCCGCCAGGCCTCGCTATGCCTGCTGCCCTGGTTGGAAGAGGACCAGCGGGCTCCCTGGGGCTTGTGGAGCAGGTGAGGGCAGTGTGCAGTGTCTGATGTGTGAGACCCCACTTCCAACTGCCCAGCAGAAACCCTGCTGCCTTCTGCCCCCACAAGCAGTGCATTCTTGCTGTAAGGCAACCCTTTCCTGGCTGCCATAGTGGAGACCCCCTCCAGAGCTGGTGACAGACTGGCCTCTTCTGCCCACAGCCATATGCCAGCCTCCATGTGGGAATGGAGGGAGTTGCATCCGCCCAGGCCACTGCCGCTGCCCTGTGGGATGGCAGGGAGATACTTGCCAGATAGGTAAGCCCCACTCGTCTTGAAGGAGAGGTCTTCCTAGTGCCTTGTGGATCCTAGGTTACTGCTGGCTGAAGTGGGTTTCCATTGATAGGTGGGTTTTAACAGGGGTCTGTGGCCAGGCCCTTGCCTTCTGTAGACACTAACTCGACACCCTCATTTCCCACAGATGTGGACGAATGCAGTACCGGAGAGGCCAGGTGTCCCCAGCGTTGTGTCAATACCGTGGGCAGTTACTGGTGCCAGTGCTGGGAGGGGCAAAGCCCATCTAAGGGTGGAATGCACTGCCTGCCCAAGGAGGGGCCCTCCCTGGTGGCCCCAAACCCCACAACAGGTAATCTTGCCTTTCCACCCTGCTGCGACGGACTCGGGTGGTTATTAGGTTTTGAGCGCTGTTCTGTGGCTGAGCTGAGCATGGGGAACACAGAGGGCAGCTAGCCCTGCATGGAGGTCAGCAAGATGCTGTGAGGGCTGAGCCCAGACAGCCTGGGCAGGAGGGAGGTTCCTCGTCTGGGTGGAAGGGGCCACTTCCCTCTGAAGAGGTTTCTGAAAGGTATTGTGGGGGAGATAAGGCATACCTGGAGCCTCATCTCAGCCAGTTGTGTGAAAGAGCCTGGAGACGCCACGTCTTTGCTGGTGACGGCACATTATTACTTTTGGTACGCGCTGTGACACTTCAAACTCGTACCGTGAGTAATAATGCGTTTGCAGCAGCCCAGCGCCAGGAGCGTGTCGGACCTGGGTAAGGACCACCATTAGCATGCGAGACCCAAGACCTCAGCACCCAGACACCTTGCATCCCCAGGGTCTGCTCCCACAGCTGTGGCAGCAGACGCAGGTCTTCCTAAGGCTAGGAGCTCATTGGGGGAGGAGGGGGGGCAGGAAACTCCTCTGATCAGTACCCGGATCTGCCCCCAGGAGTGGACAGCATGAGGGAGGAGGTGCACAGGCTGCAGACCCGGGTTGATGTCCTGGAGCAGGTGAGGCTTTGTTGGGAGTGGCTCTCGCTGGTGTCCAGACCCCATAGTCTCTGAGGCTGTGGTTCCAAACCGTGGGGTGGTTGGGGGTGGTTGGAGGTTCTATGGGGGAAGGGCTGTAGAGGTTCTGGCTTTCTTACCATGCCAGGCAGCACTGTGTGGGATTCGCCAGCCTGGAAGGAACTGAGGTTCAGAGCCCACTTAGCCTGTTATACTTGCTGTCTTGCAAGTCACATCAAGCCACAGGCTCCATGACCTTCCTAGCTTATCTCTAGGGTCCCAGGATCTTTTAGCTAGGTTGTGGGTATGTTATACACGGGCGTCTACTTAGCCTTTGGGCTCCCTCTGTTTGCAATCAGGGCCCCTGCTGCTACAGCTCAGTAGAGGACATATCACCCCCTACTGGTCCTTCCTTACATTCTCATGGAATAGAGGTTAAGAGGTGTCACTTGGCTTCTTTGCAACCTCCCTTACAGAAACTTCAGTTGGTGCTGGCCCCACTGCACAGCCTGGCCTCTCGGGCCACAGAGCATGGGCTGCGAGACCCTGGCAGCCTGCTGACCCACTCCTTCCAGCAGCTGGACCGTATTGATTCCCTGAGTGAGCAGGTCTCCTTCTTGGAGGAGCAGCTAGGGTCCTGTGAGTGCCACACCTCCCCACCCAGAGATCCTAGGGAACCCATGGGGCAGACGGAACTACTGCTGGGGATACACAGATTTGCAAGTTTGCACCCTTCTTCCTTTTCTGCTCTAGGCTCTTGCAAAAAAGATCTGTGATGGCATCTCACCACCTAGGCTGGACTGAGATGCCGCCTCTACATCCCCTTCCAGCCAGACATCAGGTGCTATCTGGTGGTGCCTGTGAGCAGAAGACCCTCCTTCTCAGGAGGTTCCTAGGACTTGGGCATGGGGAGTGGGGTCTTTCCAGAAAAGGTACGAGAGCACCCTGTCCAGAGGTGAGGTCAGGATTGTCTCCATCTTTGTCATAATAAAGCTGGGACTTGAGCTGCTGTCGGAGGGTGAATTGCGACTGGGCATGCCCTGTACTCCTGCCCTGGAGGCTTCAGTTCACTTTAGTGAACCTGCCTGTCTGAGAAAAGGAGCTGCAGCAGGAAGGTACTGGGGCCCCAGTTTTCCCTTGGTGACTTGCTGGTTCCACACACAGCCAGAGGCTAACAGGCGGGTCATGCCACCAGGCCCACGGCCTGCCCACCCTTCAGTTCTGTGAACCCCACACATCCACAGAGAAAAGCACCACTGGCTGATCACAGCTCATCTCCTGCAGGCAGTTTGTGGGGAGCAGGGAACTTACACGCTGCAGCCCCAGAGAAGGGATGTGGGTGGTTATATAACCCCCTTATCCTGTATCCCTGGATGGAGGTCTGGGGAGGGGCTCTTGCCCATCCTCTGAAAGAGACCCCTGGTCTCAAGGTGCTTCTCAGAGTTCAATTAACAAAAAAAAAAAAAAAAAAAAAAAAGGAAAAAAAAAAAAGGACCAAGTACAGCAGTGACTTGTGACTGAGACCGGACAGTGAGGATGGCTCTGCCCTCTGCTGCTGTGGGACCCAGGTTTCCTTGAGACTGGGAGACCAAGTTCTTCCTCTTCCTGATGGCCTGATGCAGGCCATGACCGGGTTCCTGAGTGTTGATCCTGCTTCGTGTTGCCCACTCCTAGGTGCCTCGTGGTCTTGGGGGTCAGCCCACTTGCTGAATGGCCACATTCAGGAGACACAGGGATGAAATGGGAAGTTACATGGGGATCCTGGGTCTAAGGCCTGTGACAGAAAAGGCTTCCTGTTTCCAGGCCCCAGTAGCGGGACAAGATGATGTTTGGTAGGTGGGAGGGAAGGGTCTTCTGTCCATCCTCCAGCCTCTGCTTCCCACCTGCCTTCCCCCAGCTCCCCTGCCCCTGTGGCCTGGGCTACTGGGCTGGCACAACCCCAGGCTCCTTAATGGCAGAGTTCTGAGGCATCTGGGAAATCTGTAGAAAGGTGTCCCTCATGGACTGGTAGCAAGTGTCCACGAGCGTGGTGACATCGGCTTCCGTAAGGCCACTGGTAGGGACAGCATCCAACACTTGTACCCTGATTGTTCCTGGGGAGGAAGCAGTGGATGTCAGGGACTTAGAGGCTCCACTTACTACCACCCACCCTCCTCGCCTGGCCTCCTACTGCCCAGCCTCTCTTCACCAGAGCCAGGCCAGCATCCTCAGCTCCTGGGCGGGGCACATATGCTTGTAATCAAGGCAACATGGAAATGTTTCAGTAACTCCACCCTCCCCTGTAGCCACTGCCAATGACTCAGGACATCTCTGCCCCTGAAAGTGCACTCAGTAACCCCTGAGTGTCCCTTGTCACACTTGGTCCTACAGTCCTCCATGGTACTGAGCATCAGGGGCTCAGATGCTGGAGACCTCCGACCCCGCTCTGACTCCCAAGGCAGTGTCACATAACCCACATGCAGGGTCAGGGTACAGGCAGAGAAGCCAGTAACATAAAGGAAGAGCCAGAGGCTGCGTTTGTGAGAGTAGGGGAACCCAGACGGCTTACAATTCCCACCCTTCACCAGCAGGGGTCACTACAGGTCCCTAATTGTGTTGCACAGCCTGGACCAACAGTTATCTCAGGAACTCAATTATGTTTGGCACCTGCTTTTCAGTCTGAAAAATCGAAAAACCCACTTAGAGCAATGAGAGGATGCAATGCTGGGCCGGTATTCATTCATTCCCCACCCAGATGTGGGAACTCCACTACTAGGGGTCCAGGACTCCGTCTGCTAAACAAGTCATCCTCCGCTACATAAGGAGTTGCAGGCCAACCTGGGGTACATGAACCCATCTCAAGATAAATAAAAAGAGAGACCACGACAGACTGGTGAGCTCCTGTGCGGCTCTGGTGGGCTCACCTGAGGTGAAGAGTTTCGTCTTGACATTGTAGAAGGAAGAAAAGGAAGAGTACACAACGGGGATGATGGGCACCTGTGGAGGGGGACGTGCTGAGGGACGACGCTACAAGGGAGCCTCGGCTGCTGCTAGGCGTCCTTGTGGCTGACCCCTCCATGCAGGTGGCCTGGTGTTTCACAGACTCACCCTGTGTAGGAAGCTCTCCAGTCCCCCTCACCCTCCCTCTACGCTGGGACATAAAGTACCCTGGAAGTGGAAGGGTGGGATTCCATTTAGCACTGGGGAGGTGGACGGTGCTGATCCTCCCCTCCCCTCCCACCGTTTCTCTCAGTCCCAGGACACCAGGGGAGAGGGCTGGAGCCTGTGGGTATTTCTGGAAGGCCCAAGGGTCAGCTCCAATGATGACAGAAGGCACCGGGGTAATAATTAACCCTGGATGCCAGAGCCTGGGCGGCAAGGTGGGTAGGCTGTACCCTAGACAGGCCCTGGGGGAGGGGCAGGAAACGCTATATCCGGATTCTCCTGCCCCTACCATAGCTCCCAGTCTCTCTCTTTTCCCAAGATCAGAGGTCACAGTGCAGTCTCCTGCTCCTCCAGCCTGGGCTTCCCAACCCCTTGGAAACGGTGGGGACTTCAGGGGAAAGGGTACATGCCATCTTGTATGGGGTTAGGGCCTAGGGGCCCAGGAGGCTGCCTGCTACAGGGGCAGAGAAGGCTGAGGTTTGCCAGGCAGCAAACGATAAAGCAGGATAAAAATTCCTGTCCCTGTCTCCCAGTGGTGGCTTTCCCATAGCAGGGACCCGCTGATCCATGGCAGACACTCAGCTCAGGGACACTCCTGATACCCACTGTTCTCCCACCCCAGGCTGAGGGGCAAGGGAAGTCCAGGCTCCAGGACACAGCTAGCTTGTGCTGCTTAGGACTGGGTTTGCCACTAGCCTGTGCCTGCTCCTCAAGCCTCATCATGATCAAGCCAAGGCCTGGGGCATCAGGGGAATTTCTAGGCACAATCTGCTTTATTATGCGGAGCAAACTACCTACTCACTGGCTCCACCCCTACTTTTCATGAAATCCCAAGTGAAGGAGACCACCCACCTGGCCAGCTAAGGTGTGGGGAGGCTGCTGTTCAAACTCTCGGGAGCTGTCAAGGGTCACCAATCTGCTCAAGTGCTAGGGGCTAAGCTGGTGCGGAGGCCCTTTCCCAACGTGGTGGAGGAGGTCCCTGAAGGCCAGCAGTCCCCAGTCTGGCTGGGATATCATCTTTAACCTTAAACCATCCTGACCCATATCCCAACCCCCGACCCCAGAAGGGCACAGCTTGGCCTACCTGGGCCTGGATGGCCAAGTAGAAGGCACCTTTTTTAAAGGGCAGCAAGTCCCCATTGTCGTTGCGGGTTCCCTCTGGGTAGATCCACACTTTGAGCTGCCAGCAGAAAGGAGAAAGCTGCTTAGGCTGCCCCTACCCTGCTTAGCCACCCCAGAGAGCTGGACTGCCCTCCCCCAAAGCCCACCTTGCCTTGCTGTGCCTATACTCACATTGTCCTTGACCATGAGGTCACCCAGGTCGGCCATCAGGGACATGGCAGTTCTGGCACGCTGGCGGTTGATGAAGTAGACACCCCCGAGGTACATGATGAGGCCCACGGGCCCTGTGAACAGCAGCTCACGCTTGGCGATCTGCACACAGCGCTTAGGGAGTATCTCCATGAGGCCTATGGAAGGAAGAGGGAGAGGGAAACAGAGACAGAAATGGAAGAGAGAAGATACATGGAGAAGGAGATGTGGAAACAGAGGGCGGGAAATGTAGGAGAGACAGAGAAACAGTGAGAGACAGAAGCAGGCAGGGGAGACCAAGGAAGCAGAAATAAGAGAGACAAGCAAGACAGAAAGACCCAGAGAGGAGAGAAAAGAAGTCAGCAGTGGAGAGGCAGAGATGGAGATTGAGAGACACAGAGGGGAAATGAGACACGAGAGAGAGAGAAGGGGAAACAGAGGGGCGAATGGGGAAAAAAAGATAGGAAGAGAGACACAGACAAAGGGGGTGGGGCATGGGGAACAAGAGAACAGTTTCAGAGCCCAGCTTGGTACTCCCTGGGAAGGAGGGACTGGTGGCCCACCTGTCAAGGCCCTGTCTCTAATGCAGTCCTGTGCCCCGTGTCTGGTACAGCCTGCTGCTTTTACTGCCCAGCTTGAGGGAAGCCCGTGGTTAGAGAGACGCATAGGTCTTGTCCTGCAAACCAACTCCAGCAAGAGGACCACCAGCCCACCCCGGACCTGTGATGAAAAGGCCACCATCTCTGTGGCCAAGCCTTGATGGCAGCCTACCCATCATGTCCAGGATACTCTGGTGGTTAGAAATGATGACACAGGGACCATCCACTTCCAGTTTCTTCTGGCCTCTGACCTCAAAGCGAAGGCCATACACGTACTTGAAGGACCGCACGAACCAGCTGATGATGCTGAGGGCAGAGATACCAGTAACCAAAATGAGCCAAGGGAGGGGTCATAGAGGGGCAAGCTGGGGAGAGGGTACAGCAGGCAGCACAGGACAGGAGACTTGGGCAGACAGAGAGTCCTGGAGGCCCATTAGCTCTGCTGCCTACCCCACAAGGGTACTCTTTCATTCAAAAGAGACCTTCAGGCACTGACTACAGGGTGGCCTGTCTCCTGCTTTGCCTACTAGAACAGGGGAGTAGAGGTGCCAACACCCAGACCCCAGCACAGTCCATTCTACATGTACATTAGTAGATGCCATCACTGGGTCCCCAGCAATCTTGAGGGAAGGGGCCCTTCCAGTCTGCTGAATGCCTGCTGGGTCCCCCACAGTTCTGAGGGAAGGGGTTCCTTACAGATTATAGAGCTATCTCTAGACAGTTCAACCAATTTGAAGCTGGTTCTTTACTCTTAGTTTTTGAAATAGTATGGGGCTGCACGGTGGTGGCAGCGCTCGGGAGGCAGAGGCAGGGGGGTATCTGTGAGTTCGAGGCCAGCATGGAGTACAGAGCTAGTTCCACAGGCTCCGAGGCTACACAGAGAAACCCTCTCTTGAAAAACCCAAAATAAGTAAATAAATAAATATGGTAAAATATGCATGCTGTAAAAATGACCATTTTAACCACCTTTATGCACATAGCTTAGTATGTTAAGGTCATCAGTGCTAGACTGCCACTGTCTGTCCGTGGAACGTTCTCCTTCCAAACCATACGATGTCCCCATCACCTCCCACTGCTCTATGTCCCTCCAGAGCGTCTGACCCTGCAAGGCTTGTCCTCATCAAGAACCCAGCAGTGGGGAGAGCAACTCTCACCGATGGGGAAACTGAGTCTTAGGGAGGCAAAAATGCTAATCCAGATGACACCAGCCACGACCCTAGGCCTGGAAACCTGGAGCACCTCCTCCCAGTCTCAGCCAGCTCAGGTCGTCTTGTTTCCAGGCCAGACCTCCCCATCTACTGCAAGGGCAGGTAGGCTGGTTTTAGACCCTCCTGAGAGAGTGGTCAGGGCTTGAGGCCTCACCCATTTCCTCATCTGTAAGTCACAGCTGCTGGGATCCCCGGGAGGCTCCAAAGGGACAGGGAAGACGACTTAGAGAAGAAAATGTGTCAACACAGGAGAACCCTCCAGTCTCGCCAGCCATCAGAGGCACAGAGAGAAGCAGGAAGGATCCTGGCCCGTTACTTAGATGCACACTAGGAAGGCTAACAGGCTGGCATGCTCTCTGGGCTACAGCCAGATGTATCTAGAGGGCGGGTTGGTGGCTAGCCAGGTTCCCAGGAAGTCTCCCTAAGGCAGTGCCACAGAGGTGTAGAGATAATCAAGATCTGAATCACCATGAAAACACCAATACCATGCAACAGTATCAAAATTGACTCCCTGAAAAGAACACATGATTTTTGGAGAAGGTGTGTATGCTGGGGGTGGAACCCAAAGCCTCTGGCAGCCAGCCACACCCCAGACTCAAGATGAAAGCTGAGCATCCCTAAAGCTGCATCTGAAATGCTTCGAAGTTTCAAAATTTCCGGACAGGGTGTCACAAGTGGAAAGTCCCACATCTGAGCTCATGTGAGGGACCACAGTCAAAGGCAGGCACAATACAGATGTTCTAGGAAGTTACCTCTGGGCATGTCTCTCTCTCTCTCTCTCTCTCTCACATACACACACACACACACACACACACACACACACACACACATGGTTCAAGTCCAAGATGCCTCGTTGGAAATGTATAAATCCTCCCAAATCTCAAATCATCCAAAATCTAAACTTTATTTCCAAGTTTTCTTTTACCTCCTCCCCCTGGCCCTTTTTGTAAAAGAAAGGGTTTCTCTGTGTAACAGTCCTGGCTGTCCTGAAACTCACTCTGTAGACCAGGCTGGCCTTGAACTCTTGAACTCACTGAGATCTGCCCGCCTCTGCCTCCCAAGTGCTGGGATTAAAGGTGTGTGCCACCATCGCCTAGCCTCTTTTACTCTTTTAAAAAAAATTTTTTTTTTTTAACTAGGGTCTCACATAGCCTAGGCTTCCTAAGTAGCCAAGGATGGCCTTGAAATCTTGCTCCTCTGGCCTCTACAGCTACAGTACTGGACTTACAGGAATGCAGACCACATCTGGCTTTATGCATTGGTGACTTCACACATGCGTGGCAAGTACTCTACCTGCTACGCTATCTTCCCTGTGAGTATCTTAGGTAAGGGACAGCCAGGCAGCCCGCAGTTGTCACTACAGACTCCTGTGCTGCTGCTGCCCAGGGAAGAGTCTCCAGCCACTTCCAGACTGTGCCCTCTAGTAGTGGCACACACATGGACACCCCCTCTCATACTGGGTGGTGGTGGAGGTGGGGGCAGGGAGGGGTGCAGGGTTTCATGCAATACTAAGCAAGCATGATACCACTGAGCAACATCATCCCTCAACAGCCCTCCCCAGTTTTGGAGACAAAACAGACATGGCATTTATCATTATGGGCTGGAAGCATGGATCAGTGTCAGAAAACTGGACCAGACTGCATAAGACCCTGGGTTCTAGCCATCCATCAATTAACAAATAAACGAGTTTTTCCCAGATGAAGGGGCCAGCTAAGTTCTACAGCGACAGTGTAGCTGGTAGACATTAGACGTTTAGGCTGGAATCCTTATTGTAAGAGGGGAGAGACACCATCAAGTACCACACCTAGGACTTCAGGCCCATCATCCAGCTCTGCTAGGACACGGCCACTGGGTAGGCCCTTACGCCCACTCTACAAAGGCTGCACAACAAACTCAGGTCAGCAAGGTTAGTGACCTGTCCCCAGGAATGAGGAAGCCACGTGGACCCAAGTCCACCTCTTAACACTGCTCCCAGCCAGGTGAGGTGTATGGTCAGAGGGCATTCCGGGGCAGGGCCATGGCTGCCCACATACCAACTGGATTTGTTGGTTCCAGAAGTCCATCCTGAGGCTCTCTCTGTCCTGTCTGCCTGCTTTGCTGGCTTGGCAGCCTGGCCCCACTCAGCCACAGAGTGGCTCCCCTGAAGGGACGTGTCATTCCCAGTAGGACAAACTGAGTTGCCAGCCCAGTCTAGACTAGAACCGCCCTTCTCCTTTCCCCTAAAGGAGCTACAGTCCCCAAGCCCTGCACCTAGGATGAGATGCAAGGTCTTTCAATGGGCCCTGCTGCCTCTCAGCAGGGGCAGAGCCAAAGCCATTGGAAGCCCAAGTGCCTGGGGGCAGAGTGAGTGCCCAGCCTGTTGCATTGGACGCATGGCATCCCGGATGTCAGGCAGTGTCCCCTTGGACAACTCAGCCTGTAATTCAGAGCCTGGCTCACCGCATTCCATATGTGACCGGACTTTCCTGAGTTTGTATCACCACCTGTGCAAGGGGAAGGACGCACGGAGCCACCTTCCACGGAGCTGACTGATGTCGTCACTCCACACTGTGGACCTTTGTCAACAGCGATTTGGTGACTGGACAAGGGCAGAGTAACACCAAGAGAGGAGCCCTCTGACCTCCTTGGGCCCCTCCCCCAGACAGGCTGGGAAGCAGTTCAAGGTTAGGGCCCAGCTGTTCTGACCCTTGCCCTCACTTCTGGTCTTGAATATGATGGGTGGGGAGTTGATAGGTGGTTAGATGGGGGCTTCAGGGGCCAACCAGACCTACATTGCTGGGAATGGGCATGTGGGGGACCATGGCTGGAAAATCCGAGTTAAGGACACTTGGCAGAACAGTTTTTTGGCAAGTGTCACAGGAATGAAGTACAAGACAGGGACAGGAGCTTGGGGCTAGGGTAGGACATCTAGCCTGGGCAAACGCCCGAGAGAATGGAGGCAGTAGGAGCTAGGGATCAAGAGGAGAGATAGTAGTAGCAAAGGCAGTCAGAGCTGGGCTTCACTGTCCTCAAAAAGTCAAGATGCCACCACTGCTTCAGGGGAGGAAGGGACTCTTCCTGTTGGCAATGTTCCTCAGACTTTTGTGCTGCTTCTTGCCTCCAAATGGCCAGGACTTGCCAAAATGGCTTCTGGCCCATGCTGGAGCTAGGCAGTAGAGAAGGCGCCCGCTTATTGCAGCCACTAGGGACTCAATCAGTCAGTGCTCAAATCTAAGGGTTCTGCCTAAAAACCAAGACCAGTTTCTGCAGGTCCTAGGTATCCATCGTCCCCCACGCCCACCCTTACCCCCAACAGGACACAATGCAGTCACAGGCTGAATCACTACAGTTCTAGGTGGCTATCCAGGGCTGGGCAGAGAGGCTTGCCCTTGTTTTACTGGGGCTGTGTGTGTGTGTGTGTATGGTTAAATTGTTCTTGTTTAGGTGACCCAGCTTTGCAGCTGAGCAAAATTTTATGCATCCACTCAGGGCTTTGCGATCCCCTAATCACATGGTATAATTAAGGCCTCTGCCTCCTGTCACCCCACTCTGGTCTACACACAGCAAAGGGCTTCCTTGGCCTCAGTCCCTAAGCCATGTCTGATAAGTCAGATATAGCTTCTGTGTTCCTAATGCTGCTCCTTGCATCTCAGAACTCTGGACCGAATGACAAAGGCTTCCTCTAAAATCCACGTGCAGTGTGGGATGCCCCTCCAGGAACTCGGGATCTGCTTACAGCCCTATAATGCCTTCAGATTGTACCCACAGCCTTAACACAGCAGTTCTCAACCTGCGGGTTGTGATCCTTTGTGTCTGTGTGTGTGGGAGGGGGGTTTGAAAGACCCTTTCTCAAGGGTTTCATATCAAATATTTAATTTTGCTTCATAACAGTAGCAAAATTAGTTATGAAGTAGCCATGAAATAATTTTATACTTGGGGTCACCCCAGCATGAGGAACTATATATTACAGGGTCGCAGCATTAGGAAGATTGAAAACCACTGCCTTAGTGTGACTGTGTCCAGCCATGGGCAGCAACATCACAGCTGAGCTGGCAATGAGGGATGATAACAGGATTTATTATGGAATTGCCTTCTGGGGTTTGATTCCCAGTGCTCCCTGTCCTGGCTGGGGGAGCTTGGGCCCTCACTTCCCTTCCTCCTAACTTGCTTACCCCCAAACCTTACTCTCAGGTGGCTTTTCCGAACCTCAGTCTCATCTGTTGCCCAGGCTGACCAGCACCTGCAGCCCAAAGTTGACTGACCCCAGCCAGGGAGGCCCTAGATGGGGATGGGCGCCTCCACCTCCCAGACACCAAGTCCCTTTCTCTGGCACTCACCCCTCTCTGGTCACACCTGGAGGATAGCATGCTCACAGGTGCCTGCTGTTTCTACCTCAACTTGTTGCTATTATGGGATTTAAGACCTGAGACTGGGGAGCAGGCTACCCACCCTATCCTCTAGCCTTCCCTTCCTGCCAGCAGGGACAGAACACCTGCTGTTACCCAGCCAATGTCCCAGGGCCCCAGGGCACACTGGGAGAGGATGCTGGAAGGCCCACAGAACCCCAGAGGAATCTGGCAGAGGGCTAGGGGCTGGGGAGGCACAAGACACTCCATTCTGGTTTGATCAGCCTGCCATATTCAGGCACCACCTCAGAAAGGCTGCCTGGATTTGACTCCTGGGCAGCAGTGGCAGACCACCAAGGAAGGCCACACAAGAACACCAGGAGGACCAACTGCAGATCTTCAAGTCAGAGGCTGATTTAAAAAAAAAAAAAAAGCTTAGATCAACCCCACAGCTGCATCCCGATGGCCTTGGGACCAGACATGGCTTTCTGTGATTTGGTTCAGCGAGAGCAGCAACTCTGCCAGATAAATACATACCTGGTGCTCCCAAGCCCACCAGGCCCCAGCTGCTCTCAAGTGCCCAGGGGAGGCCCTCTGCTCACGGACAGCACACACACACACACACACACACACACACACACACACACACACACTCCCGCAGCCCAGCTTTAATCTCAGGTCAAGCAACAGGAAATGTAAGGGTCTCCCTGCCGGTTCCTGCAGCCTGCTCCCTGGGACGCGGGATGGAGGTAATAGATCACTCCAAACCCCTGAAAAAATGAGGACCGGAACCCACGAAATATGACTGGTCAGAACAGCGTCCTAACGCCAAAGACTAGCAAGGCCAGGTACAGCAGTGTCAGAAAATAGTTCCTATAACCACCGCAGGGGAGGTGGGGCGTCAGGGGCCACAAGTCCGAAACACCCAGCCAAGACCAAGGCCAGGGCATTGCAAAACCCACCACCTCAACAGTCCAAACGGGGCAGAGAAAATGTAGCAACAGTCTCCTAGGTATGTGGGCAGGGAGAACGGACCGGAGGCCCTTTTCTCCCAGGCAGCCCCTATTGGCAGGTTAACTAACTCAGCCTGATCCCCTTATATGTTCCCTCTGCCTATTCACTAAGCTATCCTTCTCTGGGAGATGGCCAGAGGAGGATTTGGTCACAGTCTGTCCCCTTCTTCCTTCTTCGCTAGCAACCCTGGTCCAAAGGCAGCTCACCCCCGCCCCGCCCCCAGCCCCCCAGCCGCCAGAAGTTAGGACAAGGGGAACCTGTGGCTGCACCTGGGCGCAGGTGTCTTCTCACCTGCGGAGAGGTGGGAGCATGGACCGGAAGCCAGGCACCAGGTCTGGGTTTCCCTGCTGGTGAAGCGGGACTGGGCCTGGCCCACCTTCGCTCGGCCCCCGCCCTCTCCCAAAGCTAGCGGCGCGCGCCACCCACCACCCCACGTTGCGCACAGGGGTCGCCGGAGGGCTGAGCCCCTCTGTCGTGCCAAGCACGGGCGCATTGTGACGCGCGTTCCTGGGGACCCGGGACGGGAAGCCGCGGCGTGGGAGGCTAGGGATCGTGAGGACAGCGGGGCGGGCGGGGCAGGAAGGAAAGAACGCGAGGAGCACAGAAGTTAGGGAAGCGGAAGCGCGCGCCCATCCCGGCGTCCGGCCCTCTTGCCTCATGTTATCCACCGTGCGGCCGCCGTGGCGCAGCAGGCAGACGATCGAGGCCACGGCGGAGAAGGACAGGCAGAGCACGCAGTAGAAGCCGATCTTGACGTAGAACCTGGCGGTGCGGCTCAGCTGCACAAGTAGTAGTAGCAGCAGCAGCGCTGCCGTCAGCCACGGCCACAGATCCATGGTGGCCGCACCCCAACCCCGACGGCGCCACCGTCCGCCGCCCGCTGGCCGCCTGTGTCCCTTTTGAGGAGCCCAGGGGGTGGAGGGCGGGCCGGGCTCGCAGCAGGAGTTAGGTGCGGCCGCCCCGCCCCGTCCCGTACCCGCCCCGCCCCTCCGGTACTGGCCCTGCCGGGGGGCACCGCGCCCCACTCCGCCCCGCCGCGTCCCAGGCGCGAACCCCGCCTCCAACTACCAGCCGGGTGTTGCCCTCTCCACCCCGCCCCGCCCCGCCACCCTGCCACCCTGCCACCCTGCCCCTTGTGTCCGGTCATTGAGTTTCCCTCACTCGTCCGGCGGCTCCCATCTCTGAGCTGCCGGGTGGCCTGGGCTCTGGCGCTGCCTCCCACGCCCCTGCACCGCGGCCCAGAACCGCAGCTCCCGAGGGCGTGCTGCCGGCTCTAGGGACGTGCCCATTATGCCAATCTTGTCACTACACAAAGGACCATTGAACGGCTACTGAGTGACCAATGGTGACCTGCCTGGGCCACCTGGCTGGCAGCCTTGGCCCTTTAGGTTGCCTTGAGCAAGGAGACTGAAGCCCCGTCCCATGATGCACAAGCTGGGGGAGCGGGATTAATAAGAGTTTTGGAGCTGGAGTGGGGGTGTTCCTGGGGCAGTGTGTCACTGGGGACCTTCTGGTGCCAGGCCAGCTCAGTAGAACCAGTAGCCTAGCAGGGCCCCTTATGTTTGGTGCCCACTGGGACACTTGTCTCTCTCCTCTCAGTCCTGGTAGTAAGAAATCTGCCTTGGGGTTGCAGGCCAGGCATATACACCCTTCCCAATCATTCTCAAAGCAGACGACAATGACAAAGTGCATCTAGCTTCCTTTCTGGAAAGGTCAGCCTGCCCCTGGGAGTGGGGCTCAGGATGGCTGCAGATTGCGATGTGCCCAGGGGCTCGCCTGTGCCCAGGCAGTCTGAGAGCATCTCTGGCCCCTGGTTTTTCTCAGATACGGAGATGGTAATTGTGACATCCACCCACAGAACTCTGCTGAGCTTTCAAAGCAGAGCCGAAAACTGTGCCAGCTTGAAGGGTGGCTAAGGAACCACCGCGAAAGTTTCCCCCTAGTGGTGTTCTCCATTTTCAAAAAAGACATGAACACAAGGCCCTCTTCATCACACCTGTGGGCATTTTGTGGCTAAACCTATCAGAGTCGTCTCTCCTTGCTGTGCTCCAATCCAGCCCTTGGCCATCATTCCATCAGCCGGAGCAGCTGAGCTTGTCCTTCTCCACTCGATACTAGCCCGGTTCCAGGCCTGAGATGGGGCTCCTGTGCTTGTGAGGCTGCTGGGAGGGCAAGCCCAGGATTTTCAGCTTCTTGGGGAGAAGAGCCAGAGATGCTCAGAGAGACCGCTGGGGAGCTGCTGAGCTGCTGCTAGGATCCCAGCTGGGAGGGCTGAGTCCTGAGATCCCCTCAGGAAGGGGGGCGGGGCTTCTTCCTTCTTGCTTTTTAAATTCTAACCTACCAATGTGTCTTTTTATTTATTGATCTACAGTAGTTCTGTCTTTTAAGTGTTTAAAGATGTATGAGAAGTGTGTGGTGTGCATGTGTGTATGTATGTATCATCTGCATACCTGAGGAAGGTACCCGAGGAAGTCAGAAGACAAGCATGCTGGGAACTGAAACTGGGTCCACAACAAAAGCAAGTGCTCCAAACCATGGAGCCATCTCTCCAGCCCAGTTTGTTTCTGGAGCAAGGCAAACCAGGCAGGCTTCAAATGCCCTACCTAGCTGGGGATGACCTTGAATTCCTAAACCTCCTGCTTCCACCTCACAAGGGCATTTGCCACCATGCCAAATTGATGATACAGAGGGTCCCACCCAGGGCTTTGAACATTCATGCATGCTAGGCAACATGTTATTGATTAAACTATAACCTCAACCCTGACCATGATTTAGTTCTTGTTTTGAGGCAACCTCTTACTGTGTTCCCAGCTGGTCTTCTGAAGCTCCTGGTTCTTCCCTCAGCCCCCCAGATAGCACTGTACACCTTAATGTGGCCCTTCCGTTCTTCCTGGCCCTTCATTCCACCTCGTTTTTGTTTTCTTCCTTCATCCCTCTGTGCCGTTATGCCCTGGCACGTGCATCGATTCTCAGCAAAACTCACAAGAGCTAAGGTACTGCCCTATTTTACTGTGTAACTGAGGCCTGGGGGTAAGTCACCAGCCAAGGAGTGATGAGGGAGGAGGCTGGCTCCACAGGCCAGCCAGGGTTTGGGAGTTGCCCTGCTCTTCTGGTTCCAGGGGAAAGGGTGGCAGCCTGAGGTGGGGGCTTTGGCTGAGGCTGGCATCCCCAGAAGCGAGGCAGTTGGCCCCTCAGAGAGGCAGTCTCCTGACTTCTCTCCAGTCTCTTCCTCCTGTTAGCCCACTAAATGTTGAAAGCCGCTTTCCAGCCTTCATCCTATGCAAGGGGAAGGGCTGTTGCAAGAAAGCTTTCAACAGAGTCACATTCAGAGGCTGTAGAAACACTTCGCTTTTGGGAATGAAGCCTAAGGCAAGTGCTTCTCAGCCACTGGGGCACTTCTAGGGGTTCTACTCTGTTTACCCAAGAGAAGGATAGAAAAGAACCCCTAGATGGGTTGGGTAGGGAAGGTGGCCCCCACTACCCTGGAGGTGCTGGGGGTGTGTCAAGCAGTCAGTGCCAGGCAACTCTGTGTCCCAGCCTGATGACAGCTGAGAGCCCTCCTGGGCATTTGCTGGGAGGCAGCCAGCCAACACATGACACCAAGTGGCATTGTCAGGGCTGAGCTGCCTTCCTTCCTAGAGCTCGGGGCCCAGAAGGGGAGCCACTGTGATAAGAGGACACTGTGGCAAGCAAGCCTGGACACTGGGTGGGAGGTATGCTTGTCCAGGGAGTAGACCGACAACCAGAGGCTTAGCCCAACCCACCTGTCTCCTTCCCTGACAGTTTCCTCTTCAGGACCTGGTGAGGCACCGAGGTCTTTGTATCTCTTTTGGGGAGCAGGAGGAGGAAAGGGCCATAAGCAGGCAGAGCTCCTTACTTCCTGGAAGCTGAGGTAAAAGGCTGGGTGACTCCTAACTGTGGCATGCCATGCAGGAAGGGCAGGGTGGGGTACCCACTTTGAAGTCCTGTTGACCTGATTGCCAGCTCCAGGCTACTTGTTTATACACACATGCAGTTTCCTCCTATGTAAAATGCAGACGCTAGCCTCAACTAGGGGGTTGAAAGAAAACCTGTTGCCCTGTGCTTCTGAAGCATCAGGTGGGGGTGCAGGTACATGTAGGGGGCCCTCATGGCCTTGCCCAGGAGAGAGAAGAGACAAGACTGTTGAAGCCTTGGGTGAGATTGGAAGCTGAGTAGGAATGCCCTCTTTGAGTCCAGTTCTCTCTGGTGGGAGACTCCAGGGGATTTTGCTCCTTATGGAAAACTCAGAAGTAGAGGAAGCTGGAGGATAAAGAAGAGAAGAAGGAAGAAGAGAAGGAGAAGGGAAGTGAAGAAAAGGAGGAGGAGAATGGAGAAAAGGGGGAGGAGGAAAAGAAGGAGAGGAAGGAGGAGAGGAAGGATGAGAAAGGACATGGGAGAAGGAGAAGTGGGGAAGGGAAAGAGAAAGAGGAGATGGAGGAACAGAGATCCGAGGAGGAGAGAGGGCAGAGCCCAGAGCTGAGCAGAGGAACTGACTGCAGCCTGTCCCCTTTGGGTTTTCTTGGAGAGCTTGGGGCCCCTTGGTGGATGTGTCACAGGAACACTGATGCCTTCCCTGCCACCTGTAAATAAAGCAGCCTGTGAATGTTTCATGGGCTGGTGCTTAAAAATGAATGAAGTGGGGAGGTATAGGGGGTTCCTGTCTGGGCAGGGAAGGGGGTATCCACAAATTCCCATGGGAACAGAGAGAGCAAGGGCGCATCAGGGCCGGGTTCCCTGAGGCCTAGGGATTTGTCCACATCTGGGAGACCATACCTCTGGAAGTAGCATCCAGAGGTCTGGGTCTCCAGGCTTGGAATGCGCTACTTTTCTCAGTGCTGCGGCCATGGTACCTGAAAAGAAGTAATTTCAGGAGGGGAGGGTTTATTCAATTTCCGGCGGCGTCAGGGGCTTCGGGCAGCTGGTCACACTGCTCCTGCAGGCAACTGGAAACACAGAGAGTATTGATGCTCAGCTCTCTCTCCTTTTTCTTCAGGGTGGAGTCAAGCCTGAAGGGTGAGTCTTCCCACCTCAGTTAACTTAATCTAGATAAGCCCTCACAGAAGCCTAGAGGCTTCTCCCCCCCCTCCCCCGGTGGTTTTAGATCCTGTCAAGTTGCCAATCAGTACTGATCACGGGGGTAGGACAGAACAGACACCCAGTGTGATGGATGCTGAGGGATTGGAGAAACGGGGTGGGCCCGAAGAGCAAGAGCCGGTCTGGGAGGCTAAGAGGAGCTTTCTGTGAAAGTGAGTCCCTGCTCAGAAGAGCTGGATTCTCCCCACTGACCCCCACCTTGCATCTAAGTGATACACTCAGTTGGCTAACAGGAGCTGGAGAGGGGCCCCCTGGTCAGCGTCAGAAAATACACTTGGCTGGTCCTTGAACCAGCAACCCTGGTGGCTCACTCACCCAGCCCCACACTTGGACAGGTAAAGGAGGCCTAGAAAAGTGAGTAGACATCCCCGGGGACCCCAGCAAGTTAAGAGAATTTGTTTCACAGTACAGACCCTAAGCCCAAAGCAGAGCAACCCAGCCCTGCCACTTGTCCGCCAGTTCACCTCCAGCCAGTCCCTCCTCTCTTGGTCTGGTCTGTGTAAAGGGGACAGGGGCATAGATACTTTGAGATATTGCTCTGGACAAGACGTGACTTAGGAGGTTTCCAGCATCTGAGGAGGAGGCAATGACAGATGTGCCAAGCAAGCCCTTGGCAGACCATGTTAAAGTCTTTAGACCACCTGACCTCTGGCCCAGCTGGCATTCCCAATGCGGTCAGCTGCACTGGCTGTTCCTCATGCCAGCTGGGGAGGGACAGGAATGGAGCCCAAGCAGGCAGTGCTATCTTCCCCACCCCATGCTGCCCATTAGGGAGGGGCTGCCTCTGTGTGGATAGTCTTGGGGTGCCTGG